CCCACTGTAGAAGTACAAAAGCACAATAAATCAGATGGCTTTATTTGAATAAACTATCCGTTTTTGTGTGAAGGTTGTTTCAATCAAGTTTAATGGAACATATCAAGAGACCTATGAAAACATGTAAATAAAGCTTCATCTCACAAGCTATCTAAAGAATAAATGGGAAAATTAATACTTTCTTTATTTATAGGTTTGCCATGCTTTATTTTGATGGAGATTTACCGCAGTACCATTTATTCACTGAAAGTTGGCTTTAAACATGCAAAACAAGAGTTCAGACTTGTAGGCAGAGGTGACATTTGGAATTTTAGACACACCCACCAGGCAGGCTTGAGTTGAACCCAATTAGGGTCAAACTGGGAATGTCAGTGAAACTGACGAGAAAGAAACAACAGGTAGGTTTTCTTTGAAATTCTATATTTTGCATTTTATTTTCTATTTGAAAAAGTGAAACGATGCGTAGTTAAAAAATGGTGAAATGCAACTTAACTTTGATACTGTAATAATAGAATCTATCAGCATGATTGGGAGAATTCTAATTGAGAAAATAAGACTAAACTAGAAAAAGGCTTTAATTAAAATTTCTCAATAAAAAATTGGTAATAAAATGTTTAACCCTTTTTTCCAAAATTAGATTGTTTCATAAAATGGGACTCCAGACAATTGAAAAGTTTATTTAGATTGGACTTGGTATTTGACCTCATGCTCTATGATGCCTTTGCTACCTTACTTTCACTGATTGCATGTTTGTTTATGTATTTGCAGCAGATATGTCTGTTAATTCCTCCAACACCATCATTGAAGTCTCCATATGTGACTACATCAGTCTTGCTAACCGTATGATCAAGGTCATCCTTCTTCTTCCTCTTTGCATCTACTTACTCTACCTGTGCTACCAGCAATGGCGACAGCAGCATTGCGTTTGGAGCCATTCTGACTTGTTCACTTTCCACATGGCTGCCATGGAGCTCTTCTGGATCTTTGGTTGCTTCTGCCTCCTTTTTCAAAGCTCTACCATAATTTCATCTGTAGGAAGCATTTTTGTTCATGTTGCCTTCTACGGAGAGATCCTTTTTCATGTTCTGACTTGCATGGAACGTTACCTGGCTGTAGTTCACCCCGTAATCTATCATGGACTAAAAAGCAAACGTGGACATCGGATTAAAATAGCTATAATTGGTGGTGTTTGGCTACTGAGCTTTACACTCACATCCCTGCAGTTAGGCGTTAGTTCTGTTTACGACTCTGTCTCTTTGCTGTGCCTTTTGATCTTGTCCATATTTGCCACATCTTTCTGTAGCTTCTATGCAATTCGTACTCTGGCTCATCCAACACCTGGGCTCAAAAAAACGGAGCGAGCTGACCAATCAAAGCAGAGAGCTCTTCACACTATCATCTTTCTGTGGAGCATGCTTTGCTTGTGGTTTGTTATGCTTCTACTTCAGGTTGTTGTTGAGCGATTACCATTCAATGTCCAATGTGTAGCAAAGACAGGTTTGAGTTGGTTTAATCTCTGTAACAGTTTGGTGTTACCACTGATGTATCTTCACCGTACTGGAAAAATGTCTTGCAGCTGTAATAAATGACTGGTAAAAAATAAAGAAAATGGTGATAAAAATGTAAAATATTAATGTTAAATAAATGAGAGGAGCAGAAGTCTCACTGACAGTTGGAGGAACTGATTTATTTGATTCCAGTGATTGTCTCAAAAGGTTATGCAACAAAATATTTAAGTTATACCATAATTTATGTGGAGGCCTATTTCATGAATTAATTTTTTTTAAATCATTCTTTTGAAGAATAGCTTAAAAAAGAGTGTTTATTCTCAATTTATTTTTACTACTTTAGTCAGACTCAAGATAATTATGTGAATATTCTGGGTTGTTTTATTTCATTAAATGAGGGGTACTAATAGTTTTTTCCATATGTGTATACAGCTGAATTTCGCCTCTGTGGGACATTAATCAGTTCTATTCTGTTCCAAATCAAACATCTTTGTTTACATAGTGAACAATTTAATGAGTAAGTGTATTGGCAAGAAAATAAATGAGTAAAAGCAGGGTTATTAGATTAAAATGTTTTATGTGAAAATGAACAATTTCACTTATTTCTCTCTTTAAGCTTGTTTGTCAGATGCCTTCTACAAAAAAAAAAAAAAAAAAAACGGTGACAGGATTCACCCACTCGCTAGTCCCCCGCAAAAATTTTTATAGATTTATTTATTCTTCTTTAGACTTTGAACATGGAGGTAAATATAAACAGGCACTCAGAGACAGGTCATGAGGGTATACTTACTGAACCACCAGAGCCTCAGCTATACTTTGATGTTGAACATTTCTAATTTTCTTTGTTACCTTAGAACCAATTTAACAGTGGTTTTATCTTAGTTTTTACTTTCCAGATCTGGATTTCTGCTCCAATCAACAGGAATTTCTGTCATATAGAAAATATTTTATGTCCTGTATTAAGTCTTTGTTTTGTAAATGTGGTGTCGAATAAAAACTGATGGTTTTAATGGTAATATATAAATACATTTTATTGAAAAAACATATTTTGTGCCTTATTATTATTATTATTATTATTGCATTATTTTGAACTGTGTAAAACCATGTAACATTCATTTGACTGCAGTGTCTGGGCGTTTCTCAATATGCGTTCTTGAGCGTTCTCGTGTGCTCGTGTACTCGTGACACGTCATCAGCCTCAGCCCGAGT